TCCCGGTATAGCGATGCACCGTTGGGACTTCAAGGCCTGTTTTTGAAGGCGCGGATGAGCCTCTGACTTTCCCGCTGACTCCTTGGAACCCAGGCCTCGGATGGGCCTTAGTCATGATTTTCTCCTGGGTGTAAGAGTAGGAGGCAGTGTTCATGGTGATGGGGGCGATGTGTGAGAAGGGGGTGTTCTCCAGTGGCCCACCTGTTCTCCATCGGCCTTCCATCCAGGGACTAGTCACCGGTAGGCCCCGCCTTTCACCTCACAGGCACGCGCGAGCTCCTAGGTGGGATGGCCGGAGATTTCGGCAAGTCGGAATGCCAGAAAAAGACGGGGACAATCCTCGTGGGGACAGCTGTGCTTGGGCAGATTGGGGCATCATTCAGTAGTGGTGGGCTTCTCCTGGATTGGTGTGAATCACTGGGCGTCTGCCACAGAGTATCTGCGGAATCGGCTGGTAGTCTTTTGTCACTCAAACCGGTTCACGGGGCCATGCTTCACTTCGGATGTGTGACGGCAGAGTCCTTGGTCCCAAGCTGAACAAATGGGCCCTTAGGCGCAGTCTCAGTGGGCAGCCCCCGAGCGGGTGTGCATGTGAACCTCTATCTCCTGTCTTTCTTCTTTGCTTTTTCCAGGAAGTTTCAAACTTGAAAGTGTGTCAAGGAAATACGCGCTTCACATCCTGAGCCCCTTCTCTGAGGCGTAGTGGACTTTGGTTATATTGCTGGAGGTCTGCTTCCAGCCTGAGCAGCCACTCCCAATCCCAGTGGACGTGCAGCGAAGAAGGCTTCAGTTGGGGATGGCTTTGTGTCCCCTAGCTGTGAATCCGTTGAAGGCTGTACTTCGTCTTTGTACATGGAATGATCGCCTGCTTGAGCTGTCTTGAGGAATTGGCCTTCCTTCCGTGGTAAAATTCTATGAATAAGTTGGGTTACAAGCAGTTGACTGAGAAATGGTGAAGGTCCCCGGTAGCTCTCTGAGTCTCTGTTTGCAGGAAGTGCTCCGGGAGGTTACGGAGGGGTGTTGATTTTCGCCATAAGAATAGTAGTTGTTCACAATAGCTGTTTATCTGCCAGTGGCCAGGAAGTTACTGCAGGCAGGCCCTGTGGGGTCTGTGTACCAGGTGGACAGGGGGTGGTGCTTCTGGTCTGGGCGATGTGATCTTGGAAGGCGGGATGTCTTTTTTCTCAGGCCCCCAGGTCGACATAGACAGTGAGTTGACTCCTTAGGTTGAGATCATGCAGGCTGATAGGTGTGGTTCTAAAGTGTCCAGTCCAAGTTGTTTTTCAACAGGCTCTTCGGGGAACGTTGAAGAAGTTGGTGCAGGAGGTCTGTGACCTTCACAAATGTGTCCAACTAGGGTGGCCACTGAACCTATAGCAGATTCCAAGAGTGACAGCCGGGCCATGGTGGTGCCGAGGGTGCCTGTTTTGGTGACAGGTGTGCCTGTTTTGGGGACAGGTTTTGGTGACAGAGTGGGCGAAGTCAGTACCTTGTCAGGCTTCATTAATCTCCTGGGAGTAGGGGTGTGTGCACCCAGCAGACCTGGGCCTTCATTCCGAAGGGGAGGCTTTTTGGCGAGTAACACTTGCCTGGCTCCTCATGGTCGCAGGGACAGAGGCGAAGTCGTGTAACAAAAAGTCATCCTCTGGCGCGGTAGTCCTCCGGGGGATTGGGCCTGGGTATCGTCGGCTAAGAATGGGCCTTGGTGTTTTGCGAACACACGTGCAATTGAGGGTAGGAAATACTAACCCCCAGTCACACCCAGGCTTTTGGTGCCCGGGCTTTGACGTTAGAAGCCCACTCACATGACACAGGTGTCCGTAGATTTGCTATGCGAACCTATAATGGTGGGCTTCTCCATCCTGGAGGCCAGGGGGAAAGCAGACCTGCCAGTGGGCCCTTGGAACAACATGACGTTGAAGTGGGGAGCGGTGTCCTAGGCTCCATTTCTGAAACCTCCTATGATTTGCTTCTGCTTCTCAGGGGGAGTTGCAGTGGTTTGCCGGCCGCCTGCCGGGATGGCAGATGTCCATTTCTTCGGAGGGTCAGAGCTTCTGCAGATCCTGGAATCATTGTGTCCTGCTGTGCTCCCCGTCCTGGTGGATGTCTCCAAATGGTAAGCATTCTTTTGCCCTGGTCCTGTCGTGTTTGAGGAATGTGCAGATCCCCCGAAAGCCGTATCTCGGCAGGCCGCTAATGGTGTGCCATCTTCCCCTTGTAGCTTGGAGAGTGGAGTCCTGGAGCTCGGTGATGCGTCCCTGGCTTGTGCGGGGTGCTGGTGGCATTTCAGGTCATCCCGTTGCCCACTGCCCATCAGTCATCCTGGGGCGTTCCGTTTTCAGGGTTTGGGCATGTGCTTGGATCGATGATGAGTTTCTCATATAAACATTCCTTGGAAAGCTGAACAAAATGAGTGAAAACTCACAACCGTCGTTCTCATCGGTACTGAGGTCCAGCACTTTGCCACTACCACGGCCTGCTGAGTGATCTTCAAGTTGAACGGGTCCCCATTCCTCCTATCTTCCAGGGCACCAGCTTGGAAAGTGTCGCAGGATACTTGCGTTAGACAAATTTCCTCAGCCCAGTGGACGTACCTGGGTGTGTGCTAGTTGATCGGCCTCCCTTTGAGGCATGACTTCTATCAGATGAGGCGTCAGTGTCGTAGACGTGAGGGAGAGTGTTTGTTGCCTGCGTAGGGTATCCTTTCAGGAGGAAGAGTGTTTCCCTTGGAGTCAGGGAGACTTAGGTTCTCTCGGCCGCTGTTTTCAAGGAGCAGGAGAGTTCTTGGTTTTTCCACCAAAGCCTAAAATGGGAGGCCTTAGACACACGTTGGGCATGATTTCTGTTGGCAGTTGGAATAGAGGGAGGTGTTTGAGGTAATGGAGAAGGAAGACCAATGGGTGATGTTTTGCTGAATGCTATCTAATAGCCCTCCAATCAGCAACCAGTCACTAGGAATCCCTACCTTGGCATGTTTACAAGTAAGAGAGAGTCCATGTTGTGAAAGCTGATGAATTGGGCCTAATTGAACAACGGATAAATGTTGGTAGATTCCTTCCAGATTCACCTACGTATGGCCGGTCCTGAGGCATGACCCGGCCGTCATGGATTTCCCGTGGATTTGTGTGTGTTTCATGTGAATTGGCCACTGAGTGTCTTCGAGGCGGAAGATAGGCCAGCATACATCTTCTCGTCACATGGGGTACTGATCACTTCCTGTGGTGAGTCCAGACTGTTTGGCCCTGGGCTTGAATCCCTTGAGGGCCAACCATGTCCACTACCGTGCCATGGCTTTGCAATGTTAATATTACAGCATGCGTGGGTATCTGTTGCTAGAATTTCTTCTTCTTCTTTTTCTTCTTTTGCTATTTGCGTTCTCTTGATACCATCGATATTGGAAGACTCAGGAAGGAAATATCCTCTTGTCTGATTCGTGTTTTCCAGTAGTTCCCGGATTCCTTGGTTTGCCTCTGGGGATTGTTCTGTTGTTTTGGCAAGGTGAGTGTCATCTGAGGGGCACACTCACGGAGAAGGCTCTAACTCAGTATTCCTCAGGGTCGTCCTTCAGTAGCTACGCTGAAGGTTTAAATTTCCTTTCGACATGAAGGCAATGGCGAGTTTCACCTGTCGCCCTGTACGAAGTTCCAGAGATGCATGGAGCCACAGAAACGTGGTGCGGCAAGCGCTGCGGTCAGGAACGGTTCCTTGGTTGGTCTTCGAATCCCTGAACCGATGTCGGTGGTTTGAAAGTGGGTTTGTGTTGCAGGTCTTGGGTTGCTACGTTTTTCACAGTGGCTTTGTGTCCTGTGAGCTTGAGGCAGTGACACAGAACGACATGTGGGCTGTCTGCGAGACGCTCTCAAATGTCCAGTGTGACTGTCTGACTAGCAGTTACAGTGTTTCGGGTTGAGCAGCCAGAGACAGTGTATTCTCGTGAAGCTGTGAATTCCGGTGTGAATCTGTATGGACACCCAGTGGACATGGATATTCCGTGGAGTTGGGAGCCCCCAAGCAGGGAATCTCTGGCTACGTTTCCCATTCCTCTGAAGTCCTTGTTGACATCCTTGTGGATGCAGGCCCTGATCTGCTTAGGTTGGCATCCTGGGAGTCAAGCCGTGATGGCCTAGACAGTGACTGGCTTTTCAGGGGTTCACAAGTTCACGTGTTTTTAGGGAACAGGCTACACACCTGTAGCCACGGCAGAGCAGTTTCCCCTTTAGCCCAAGCAGGTGGGCCCCCTCCCGTGGAAATTCAGTGTCCTGAGTGACGTAAGGAGAGGGGATTCCTGGAGACCACCGCTTATAATAGAAGTCAATGAGATGCAGACCTGAGAGTTGACACACGGGAAAGGAGCGGTGGAAGTTACAGCTTGTGTCCTTCGGCTTCTTCCTCAACCGCGCCTATGATTTGCTTGCTTCCACTTCTCAGGGTGACTTCCTGTGAAGACCTGTCATCGGCTTGGAGTTCAGATGTCCAGGTCCTCCGAGGGGCAGCATGTGCGTGGAAAACAAGCGTCGGTGTTGCCTGGGGTGCGCCTTGTGCTGGTGGATAGCACAGGATGGTAAGTGTGCTTTAGGCCTCCTGCCGACATGGTCTTGAAGATTTGTAGACCTGCAGCAATGTGTTTCTCCATGGGTCAATGATGGCACGCCGCATTCCACTCTTAGAGTGGATTGTCAGACGTAGTGCTGGGTGGTGAATGCGTGGCTTGTCCACGATGCTGGTGGTGTTTAAGGTCATCCGGCCGTGCATTTCCCAGCAGCCATCCTGGGCTTTTCCATTTCCCGGGTCTTGGCATGTGCTTGGATCGATGATGAGTATCCCAAAAAAACATTCCTTGGAAAAGCTGAACAAAATGAGTGAAAACTCACAACCGTCATCCTCATCGCAACTGAGGTCCAGCACATTGCCTCCACCAAAGCCTGCAAGAGTGAGGTCCCACTTTCCCGGTTGAACATTCCGTCCAGCACCTACCTGGGGCGCCAGCACTGGAACGTGTCCCGCAGTAGGTACTTTAGGCAAATGTCCTCAGTGCAGGAGGCATTCCTGAGGGGTGGGCGTGTTGTGCGTTGTCTGGCCTCTCGGTAAGGCGTGGCTTCTATCCAAGCAGGCATATGGATTGTAGGGGTGGGCGAGCATGCAGCTGGCCTAGCCTAGGGAATCTGTAAGGATGTCCAGTGTTCCCGGTATAGCGATGCACCGTTGGGACTTCAAGGCCTGTTTTTGAAGGCGCGGATGAGCCTCTGACTTTCCCGCTGACTCCTTGGAACCCAGGCCTCGGATGGGCCTTAGTCATGATTTTCTCCTGGGTGTAAGAGTAGGAGGCAGTGTTCATGGTGATGGGGGCGATGTGTGAGAAGGGGGTGTTCTCCAGTGGCCCACCTGTTCTCCATCGGCCTTCCATCCAGGGACTAGTCACCGGTAGGCCCCGCCTTTCACCTCACAGGCACGCGCGAGCTCCTAGGTGGGATGGCCGGAGATTTCGGCAAGTCGGAATGCCAGAAAAAGACGGGGACAATCCTCGTGGGGACAGCTGTGCTTGGGCAGATTGGGGCATCATTCAGTAGTGGTGGGCTTCTCCTGGATTGGTGTGAATCACTGGGCGTCTGCCACAGAGTATCTGCGGAATCGGCTGGTAGTCTTTTGTCACTCAAACCGGTTCACGGGGCCATGCTTCACTTCGGATGTGTGACGGCAGAGTCCTTGGTCCCAAGCTGAACAAATGGGCCCTTAGGCGCAGTCTCAGTGGGCAGCCCCCGAGCGGGTGTGCATGTGAACCTCTATCTCCTGTCTTTCTTCTTTGCTTTTTCCAGGAAGTTTCAAACTTGAAAGTGTGTCAAGGAAATACGCGCTTCACATCCTGAGCCCCTTCTCTGAGTACTTTGGTTATATAGCGGACTTTGGTTATATTGCTGGAGGTCTGCTTCCAGCCTGAGCAGCCACTCCCAATCCCAGTGGACGTGCAGCAAGGAAGGCTTCAGTTGGGGATGGCTTTGTGTCCCCTAGTTGTGAATCCATTGAAGGCTGTACTTCGTGTTTGTTCTTGGAATGATCGCCTGGTTGAGCTGTCTTGAGGAATTGGCCTTCCTTCCGTGGTAAAGTTCTATGAATAAGTTGGGTTACAAGCACTTGACTGAGCAATGGTGAAGTTCCCCTGTAGCTCTCTGAGTCTCTGTTTGCAGGAAGTGCTCCGGGAGGTTACGGAGGGGGTGTTGATTTTCGCCATAAGAATAGTAGTTGTTCACAACAGCTGTTTGTCTGCCAGTGACCAAGAACTTACTGCAGGCAGGCCCTTTGGGTTCTGTGTATCATTTGGATATGTCGTGTTGTTTTTGGTCTGGTTTTTCTTGGAAGGCGGGATGTCTTTGTTTCAAGCCCCCAGGTCGACATATACAGTGATTCAATTCTTATAGTTGAGATCATGCAGGCTGATAGGTGTGGTTCAAAAGCATCTTGTCCAAGTTGTTTTTCAACAGGCTCTTTGGGGAACGTTGAAGAAGTTGGTGCAGGAGGTTTGTGCCCTTCAGAAATGTGTCCAATTAGGGCGACCTTTGTGCCCTACAGGCAGATTCCAAGAGTGACGGTCTGGCCGTGGTGGTTCCGAGGGTGCCTGTTTTGGTGACAGGTGTGATCCTCTGGAAGAGTGGCCGAATCAGTATCTTGTCAGGTCATTAATCTCCTGGGTGTAGGAGTGTTTGCACCCAGGAGACCTGGGTCTTCATTCCGAAGTATAGGCTTTTCGGCGAGTAACACTTTCCTGGCTCCTCTTGGTCACAGGGGCAGAGGTGAAGTTGTATAACAAAAAGTCATCTTCCGGCGTGTTAGTCCTCCGGGGGGTTGTGCCTGTGTATCATCGGCTAAGAATGGGCCTTGGTGTCTTCTGAACACACGTGCAATGGAGGGTTGGAAATACTAACCCCTAGTCACACCCAGGCTTTTGCTTCCCGGGCTTTGACGTTAGAAGCCCCCTCACATGCCACAGGTGTCCATAGATTTGCTGCACGAACGTTTTATGTTGTGCTTCTCCCTCCTGGAATCCAGGGGAAAAGCAGACCTGCAAGTTAGCCCTTCGAACAACATGATGTTGAAGTGGGGACCTGTGTCCTAGGCTACATTTCTGAAGCCTGCCTGTGATTTGCTTCTCCTTCTCACGGGGAGTTTCAGTGGTTTGTCTGTCGTCTCCCAGGATGGGAGATATCTGTTTCTTTGGAGGGGCAGAGCTTCTGCAGATCCTGGAATCATTGTGCCCTCCTGTGCTCCCTATGCTGTTGGATGTTTCCAAATGGTAAGCATTCTTTTGCCCTGGTCCTGTCGTGTTTGAGGAATGTGCAGATTCTCTTAAAGCCGTATCCTGGCAGGCCACTAATGGTGTTTCATTTTCCCCTTGTAGATTTGGAGAGTGGAGTCCTCTTGCTCAGCAATGCGACCCTGGTTTCTCTGGCATGCTGGTGGCTACTTTTCCCATTCTTCTGGAGTACTTGTTGACATCCTTGTTTATGACGGCTTTGATCTGTTTAGGTTGGTGTCCTGGGAGCCAATGTCTAATGACATAGACCGGTACAGTCTTTTC